CTATCTTTAGGGCCCTGGAAACATGAAGATGATGTACATCTTGAAACTAAATGGGGAAGGTGCTTTGGCTGCTTTAAAAGACTTGGGGGCTTTTTCTTCCTATCTGGGACCTTTCCTTGATTTCCATTCCATACTATTTATTACCATTTCAGTTTAACTTCTGACTACAGTGTACTGTTTATAGAACATCAGAAGATTCATCTTTGTGATGCCAAAATGGAAAAATTTATGAAATCAGCCCCATTATATGTATGTTAATTAAAGCGATTGAATGTAGATTTACAGATTAACTTCACATTTTAATTTGTATGATAAAAGGGTTTCATCCTTTCTGGAGTTAAGAGTTATCCACAGGCTGACACTCCAACCACTGAGCCAAACTGGCCAGGGCTTAAGAGTTATCATTCTCTGTAACTATTGAAAAGGAAATTGCTACTCTTTCCAAAAATAAATGGAAAGAAAGTATGATTGTTGGTATAGAAATATAGCAGAGATAGTTTTGTACAGAGATATTTTAGTCCTTAAAGTATGAAACAATGAAACTGTAAAATCGTTATTTTTCATTTTCTGCTTCAGATTTTCACTAAGCAAGCTTTAAAAAGTACTTTTCTCCTTTTGATAAAAAGATAAAGCTTCACTTTTAACTTTAGAAACGGTTTCCAATGTTGCTCTGTGATGTTGTATCAAAATAAAGTTTACATTTGATTGGGAAAGCAGTGTTCTTTAAGATAACATAAAATGATTATCAAAGTAGTAAAATGAATTCGATTGCTGATAAATGTTTTATATACTCACTAACCATTTAATTTGTAATTATATTTAAAAAGGGCTTGATTTATTCTAAAGTGAAAAATTAAACCTTGGAACATGTTAATTTTAATTGAGGATTTCATAGTCTTTAGGATGAAGTGCAAGCAAGCAGAGCATTATCAAATAAACACTAGAGTAATAGAAGTGTGTTTTGTAAATTACTATTGGTTAATGAGATTAATGGTATTGGCAGATAGATCAGTAGAACAGAATAGAGAACCTAGAAATTGACCCAAGACAATATACTCAATTAATATTTGACAAAGGTGGCAAGAGCATACAGTGGAGTCAAGATAGTCTCTTCAATAAATGGTGTTGGGAAAATTGGACAGCTACTTGCAAAAAAATGAAGCTAGACCACCAACTTACACCATACACGAAAATAAACTCAAAATGGATAAAAGACTTAAATGTAACTCATGAATCCATACAAATTATAGAAGAAAATGCAGGCAACAAAATTTCAGACATCATACACAGAATTTTCACCGATAAACACCTAAGGCAAGAGAAACAAAGGAAAAAATGAACACACAGGACTACATCAAACTAAAAAGCTTCTGCACAGCAAAAGAAACAACCATCAAAACGGAAAGGGATCCCACTATATGGGAGACCATAATCACCAATGATGCATCAGATAAGGGGCTAATTTCCAAAATATATAGAGTGCTCATACAAGTCAACAAAAGGAAGACAAAGACCCAATTAAAAAATGGGCAGAGGACCTAAATAGACACCTCTCCAAAAAGGACATACAAATGGCCAGGAGACATATGAAGAAATGCTCAACATCACTAATCATCAGAGAGATGCAAATTAAAACAACAATGAGGTATCACCTCACACCTGTCAGAATGGCCGCCATCAACAAATCATCAAACAAGTGTTTGTGAGGGTATGGAGAAAAGGGGATTCTAGTACACTGCTGGTGGGAATGCAGACTGGTGCAGCCACTGTGGAAAACACTATGGTGTTACCTCAAAAAGTTAAAAATTGAACTGCCATTTGACCCAGTGATCCCACTTCTAGGAATATACCCTAAGAAGCCTGAAACACCAATCAGAAAGAATATATGTACCCCCATGTTCATAGCAGCACTATTTGCAATAGCTAAGACCTGGAAACAGCCCAAGTGTCCATCAGTAGATGAGTGGATTAAAAAGCTGTGATACATGTACACAATGGAATACTATGCAGCTGTAAGGAAGAAAGATCTCTTATCCTTTGGGAAGGCATGGAGGGACCTGGAGAGTATTATGCTAAGCAAAACAAGCCAAGCAGAAAAAGACAAGTATCACATGATCTCACTTATTTGTGGAATATAATGAACATAACAGTCTGAGGAACAGGGTAGACCCAGAGACATAGAGGTGGGGTACAGACTGACAAGCCTCAGGAGAGGGGGTTGGAAGGGAAGAGATAAACCACAGAACTTATATGCATGTATGTATGACCAATGGACATAGACAACAAAGCTGGGGATGGGGTGGCAGGGATGGGGAGGAGGGGGGAAAAAGGAGAAACATCTAACAAAAACAAATTAATAAAAAAAAATTAATGGTATTAGTTACTTTCTTTAAAGTTTATAAAATTCCAAAAACTACAGATATAACTTAATACTTTGTTTCCCAGTGATCATATCAAGGCACGTTTGCCATTTTCTGAATTGGCCATAATATATTAGGGGCCTCTCATTTATAAAAATATTTGTTGGATACTTGGTCATTGGAAAAATCAGCAAGTTGGCTTTTTGAGAAAAATATACTTGACCAGGGAAAGTTAAATGTTGATTCGTTGTGGGTATTTTTTTGTTTTTGTTTTAAGCATATATAAGATATAATCTCATTTGTAATGTCAGAGGTATATTAAGAGCCAACATGTTCTCTAAACAGGTCCCAGTACGATATAATTGTAGAGAAATGCCACCTAATAGGTAGCAAGTTGGACTTAGCTAAACCTTTGCAAATTCAGGAGTCCCCATAGTAACTTTCTGTCCCTCAGGCTACGTATGTAGTGCCCTTTCTTGTGGATTAGAATGTGTGTGTGTTTTGAAAAAAATTGTAACTTAATAGTTTCTGAAATCTGAATTCATACCTACCCTTTGTGTAGATTCACCAAGTGTTAACATTTTGCAACATTGACTTTACCACTCCCTGTATAGTATTATTACTTTATTTTGCTCAATGATTTGAGTGTAAGTTACAGACAACTTGGACCTTTACTCCTTAATACATTATAAAACGACTATGAGGTATCACCTCACACCTGCTAGAATAGCTGCCATCAACAAATGACAAGTGCTGGCAAAGATGTGGAGAAAAGGGGACTCTAGCACACTGCTGGTGGGAATGCAGACTGGTGCAGCCACTATGGGAAACAATATGGTGTTTCCTCAAAAAATTAAAAATTGAATTGCCATTTGACCCATTGATCTCACTTCTAGGAATATATCCTAAGAAGCCTGAAAAACCAATCAGAATATATGCACCCCTGTGTTCATAGCAGCGCTCTTTACAATAGTAAAGATCTGGAAACAGATCAAGTGTCCGTCAGTAGATGAGTGGATACAAAAAACTGTGGCCCTGGCCAGTTTGGCTCAGCGATCAGAGTGTTGACCTGTGGACCAAAGAGTCCTGGGTTCAATTCCAGCCAGGAGCACGTACCTTGGTTGCGATTTGTCCCTGGCTCCGGTTGGGGTCGTGTGGGTGGCAACCAGTCGGTGTGTCTCTCTCACATCGATGTTTCTCTCTCTTTCCCTCCCGCTCTGCCCGAAGATAAATGTAAAAATATCCTTGAGTGAGGATTTAAAAAAAAAGCTGTGGTGCATTTATACAATGGAATACTATGCAGCTGTAAAAAAGAAAGATCTCTTACCCTTTGAGACGACTTGGAGGAACCTGGAGAGTGTTACGCTGAGCAAAATAAGCCAGTCAGAGAAAGACAAGTATCACACAATCTCATTTATTTGTGGAATTTAATGAACAAAATAAACTGATGAACAAAATAGTGATACCTCGGTTCTCGAACATAATTCGTTCCAGGAGGACGGTCGAGAACCGAATTGTTCGAGAACCGAAGCAATGAAACCAATAGGAAAGCGTGACTCCACAAAGCGTGACTCTCTCTCTGCACTCACACTGATGACGCAAGCAAGGCGCGCTGGGCCGAATGAACGCCATTCGGCTCATCTCGGAAGTTCGAGTTCCAAATATTTGTTTGGATTCCGAGACAAAAGTTTCTCGAATCTCCATTTGGTCGAAAACCGAGGCGTTCGAGAACCGAGGTATCACTGTAGATCCAGAGACATGGAAGTAGGGAACAGACTGACAAACCTCAGAGGGAAGGGAAGAGTGGAAAGAGATAAACTAAAGAACTTACATGCATATATGCATAACCAATGGTCACAGACAACAGTGCAAGTGAAGGCAGGGAGGAGGGGAATCAATGGGGAAAAGGGGACATCTGTAATGCTTTCAACAATAAAGTTAAAAAAAATTAAATACATTATTATGTATTTCATAAAAACACAGACATTCTCTTACCTAGCTAGTCAGTACAAATGATTAACTTGAGGAAGTTTAACATTGGCACAATAGTATCTAATTTGCAGTTTATATTAAACTTTTTGCTAATTGTTTCAAAATTGTCTTTTGTTGTGACTTTTTATTCAAACTCAAGATCATGCATTGCGTTTAGCTACGTAAGTTACGTTGCTTTGCAACATGTCACGTCTGTTCAGAAATAGAAGATATCCTTTCAATTTATCTGCTGCAAGTTTTATTGAAGAAAAAAAGACATTTGGGATTTTAAGGTGCCTGATTTCCAGAAAACCAAACAGCCCAGGTAGAAGGACCTTTTTCATTTTTTATTTTAAAAACTGTGGCTGAGTTTTGGTGTCTTGACACAGCAAAGTCTATAGTACAACAAAGCTTGGTAAGCATTAAAATGGGTACTGAAGCGCTCCTTTATATCATAATCCCAATTCTTTTTCTAGAAACCATCAATAGTTTCTAAATGACTGACTTGATTTTTGGATCCAATTCTCATGACCAAGCAAATGTTTGATTTGAACCCAGCCCAGTATAAAATGCCTCTGTGCTTCTAACTCTGTAGCTATTTCCTGGATTTCAGCACTGGGGAAACCGATCTATGCATCAAAAATGTCTAAAACTGGAACCAAGGTAAGTTAAAACGGTCATGCTGATTTGCAGCCTATCCACTTTCTTTTCACCTAATAATACATCAAAAGAAACATGAAGAAAAGCTTTTGCTACTTTGCCTGGAGGTGAGTATGACAGTGGTTAGAAAATTGGGATTGGGAGAGAAGATTAAGAAATGATTATTATATTTTCTAACAGAATCACCAGTTTGTTAAGGGGTTATCAGTATATGTGGTGCTATGTTGAATACTGTCCAAGTATGTAACATGTAAATATCATGATTTCTGTCTTCCAGCAACTAATATTCCATGAACTTTCACAAGAATAGGACATGATGATCAGAGGATTATGTGAAGTAGAAAGCTTTTGGTATTCAATGAAAATTTTGTTTTATGAAATTTAGCCTCAACCATTCATATTTTAAAAGGCCGTGGTGGATGGAACAATCAAGTGAATTAAATCCTACATACCCCCTTCATTCAAGCAGTTACTCTTACCCTTTCCCTCAAATAGAGTGCTTATTAAGCTAGGAAAATTGTCTTTAAATATTTGATTCACAGTTGTTGGACTGGCTGATCCCTTGGGCAGGGCTTTGGGAATTCTCTTTTAAGGTCTTCCACTGACCAGGGTCTAAGGCAAAACTATTGGTGCCTGATTCTCCTCCACTCACCCCCCCCCCCCCCCGACTTTTTACTTTGAAAAATTTCAAACCCATTGAATCTTAAAAGAATAAGAAGGAAATGATGAATGAATACATGTATACCCTTCACTTACATTCTTCAAGTGTTAACATTTTGCCCTATTTTATCTCTGTCTTTTTTGTACTAAACCATTTGAAAATAGCAATCTTAATACTTTTGCCTTAAATATTTAGGCATGTATTTCCTAAAAACAAGTATGTTTACCTGTATAAACATAATATCATCGTGTTCTCCAAATTTATCATAATACTTAATATTCAGACTATAGTCAAATGTCCCCTCGTTGCTCCCCAAATGTGCTCATGGCTGGCTTTTCCCTGAGGTAGGATCCAGTCAAGGATTACACATTGCATTTGGTTGTCATGTTTCTTTAGCCTCTTTTGTATAGAACAGTCCCTTTACCTTTCTTGTTGTTGTTTCTTCAGACATTGACATTTTCCAAAATCAGACCAGGTGTCTTGTTGAGAAGTCCTGAAATCTGAATTTGTCCGATTGTTTCCTCGTGTTTAGATTCTGACTAACCATCTTTGACAAGAAAGCTAAGTAGGCAATGTCAAGTACTTCCTGTTGCATCAATTTAGGGAGCACCTGTTAATTCATTCCAGAATTGGTCAGTGCCTGATTTTTTTTTCCATGTAGAAAATAGAACTAATAATCATACTTGTCATTCAGAAGACAGTTTGGGGAGAAAAATGAAACAGTGTCTTTAGTGCTCTGAGGTTCTTGAAAATATGCCCTGCACATCCCACAGAATAAAATTTGAAGTCCTTAGAGGAATATCCACATGCCTTGAGGGAAGGCTGTTACAGAACCACGTTAGATGAAAACATCGCTGCTCTCAGAGATTTCCAAAGTAGTGATGGTGTGCTCTCCTTTATTTCTTGTAGCTGGGCTTTTATTAAATTAAATAACTTTTGTTTGCTAGATCAAAGACAATAATATCTCTTACACTTATTACTTCTCCTGGTCCCACTATCTTGCTAGCAATTTAATCAGAGGAGTTAAGGGTGTGGCAAAAAGAATGTATTACATTTGATTTTGTTACCTCTGGAATACTTGAGACACCTTTCTGCTGTACTGGATTGGTAGGCTGTTTTTCAAAACATTACCTTGAAATTTTTGAAATTATTTCTAGTCAAATCGGCACATTTCTTAGACTTCTCTGCAGAATTTTTCCCCCCAAGAGTCAAAACCTTCTCTCAGCTGACCACAGAGTAGATTTCAGAGTCCTACAAATGAAAAATGAGTAGATTTGCAACATTTTCTGGACCCTGGGATTTGGAAGGTCTCCCACTGAATGGAGAAGTGGAACTCAGTAATGGTTCCATGGCAACATTAGTGCTTTGTTTCAGTGTTGGGATGGTTGGCTGTTCTGCTGGGAGGGTGGACCTTGTAGAACATCATATATAGTTTCACTTCTCAGATGTTGATATCACGTACAGGTGCAGAGAGCATTAGGTGTGAGAAACAATGAAGAAAAATAGATGATACGAATCGTCCCTAATATATCCCTTGCAAAGCCTCTTTTCTTGTGATTAGTTGGCCAAGAACCAAAGGTAAATTGATTTAAGGACTATGGGTCTGTCTATTCATAGAAAAGTTATTTTGATTTTCCTAAAGATCTTTCCACGGCTTTTGGGGAAATCCCCTCAGACTCAGGATCAGTCTTGTTCTGTTTCTGAGAGTAAATGCTATATGCCGAACAGACAGCCGTGCAGGTAGGAAGACAGCAAAGGGGGAGATAAAGTAAAATAAAATGAACCAGGGACTACTAACCAGGAATTGGCACTGCAGTCCATATGCTTGCCTGCAACTAACTGGTAACCAGCGAGTGACGTTAGGCAAGTTATTTAACTGTGTTTTCTGTAACAACTATAGTAAAAGCTTATTGGCAATTCCAGCCAGGTATTAAATTAAGTGTGTTATCTACATTATCCCATGGGACCCCCAGAACAACTCTGTGTGGTAGATGTTGTTATCCAGTTTTACAAATGAAGAGACAGCTTCAGAGACATTCAATGGACTGTCTAGGTCAGAGCCAGTAAATAGTGGTGCTGAGATTTTGTTTTGTTTTTCAATGTAAACTGGGGCGCCATGTATCTCTAAATATGTACTGTGCTAAAATGGGAAAGGGAGATTGAGGAGAAAAACTTGGGAAGGAGAGAAAGGAGATGAAGTAGATGATTTAGGGGTGGGAAGGAATAAGGAAGCTTTTAGGGAACAGGAAATAGAAAGGTTGAAAGAGCCCTGGCCAGTGTGGCTCAGTTGGTTGGAGGGTCCTCCCCTACATGGAAGGGTCAAGGGTTTGATTCCCGGTCAAGGCACATACCCAGGTTTCGGTTGTGACCCCCAGTCAGGGCGCCTGCAGGAGGCAACAGATCGATGTTTCTTTCTCACATTAATGTTTCTCTCTCTCTCAACCTCCCTTTTTCTCTCTAAGATCAATACAAAGAAGAAGAAAAAAAGAAAAGTTTAAAGAAATGGGGAACATAAGGAGAGGAGATTAAGATAGAAGGAAATAATTATTAGTAGGAAACTAGAAAGAATAACATGGGGTGGAAGAGAATGAGGTTTTATGCCCACTTGTGAGTCATGTTTGGTTTCTTCCTCTCCTTTATTCTCTACATCTAATTAGTCACCAAATCCTATATTTCTTTTTACTGTTTCCTCAACATCATTCACATTGTAGTTGCCTCTCCGTTGGCCCTCATCACTCACCTTGCCCACAGCAACCGTCTATTTCCAGATACATCTCCCACATAATCACCATAGGGATTCTAGCTCGGCTCCCTGTCTCTCTTCTAGCTTTATTTCCTAATGCTTCACAAATACTCAGTATGTGCCATGTTTAACCAACTACTTGTCCCTCTACAGGCTCCCACCCCACCCCTGAAAAGGGAACCCACTGTATGGGAGAACATATTTGCCAATGATATATCAGATAAGGAGTTAATTTCCAAAATATATAAAGAACACATACAACTCAACACAAGGAAGATAAACAATCCAATTAAAAAATGGACAAAGGACCTGAATAGACACTTCTCCAAAGAGGACATACAGATGGCCAATAGACATATGAAAAAATGCTCCATATTCCTAATTATTAGAGAGCCGCAGATGAATAAAACTACAGTGGTTTTCTCCTTTTAAACGCGTAAAAGAAACTAACCACAAGGTGGCGGCATAATGCCAGGGAATTAACTTCTCGAATCACTCTCACCTGTGATTATAACCTAGACCTGATCTTGGATTGTGGAATGATAGAAGAAGGGACAAACTAGTGCATTTGGTCTGTTGATTGGCAGACACTGATCATGAAGTTCTAGAAATTTCGGAGAAATTTCAACCAGAAAGCTCTGAGTTTTATGTTATAGCCAGGGTAGTCTCCTCATTTCATTAGACAAGATGGGATTGAAACCCAGAGAGACGGCTTGATTAAGGTAGCGGGGCTGACTATGGAGATGCAGCTCTGGGGCCTGGGTTTATTCTCTCTGGGTTCTCAGGGCTGCATGTTTTCCGGGGCCATCCCAGATCTCAGAGTGTACCCCAAGCATTCCGTTAGAAACCTGGCAAGCGCTTAAAACAGAGTACCATATCGCCTTGTCATTTTGTTACTTTGCAACAATTCTGTTGGCAATAAGATCATAACACAGAACATAAAATGATGGTGTATTTTCATGTGTGTGTTCTCTATCCATCTAAAATGAGCTCTCTACAACCAAGGTCTGTGTTTTATTTTCCCCAACGTAGCTTCCACATCACCTAGAATGAATGTCTGCATTTACACTCGTTCGTCTTCCCCAAGTATTTACTGAGGGTCTGTCAAGTGCTGGCACAGGGGTTCTTAGCTCAGATAAGGTTTGGCCCTTGCCCCTGGAAGAAATCTGCTGGGAGTCTGGCGGGAGAGACAGGCATATTAGTAGATAATTTACTATACAATGTGGTAAGTACAGTGAGCTGTGGGAACAAAAAGGAGAAAGCAATGAGCCCGAGTCTGAAATTGCTGGCTTATATGAGAACACTGCTTGCTTTTTCATTTTAAGCCTTCAGAAAGTACTCGTTCCTATTGTTGACAACCAAGGTCGTCTGCCGGAAGGCAAACGTTGTAAGGTGAGGTCGAGCAAAATAAAGAAGGGAGGGATTTCTGAAGTGAAGAGCGTGTTCGTAACGTTTATTTTATGCATCAACCATGCCACCCAACTCCTCCATCGTCTCTGTTTGCCCTGTACTTCAGATTACTTTCTATGAAGACAAAAATTTTCAAGGCCGCCACTATGACTGTGATTGCGACTGTGCCGATTTCCACATGTACCTGAATCGCTGCAACTCCATTAGAGTGGAAGGAGGCACCTGGGCTGTGTACGAAAGACCCAACTTTGCTGGGTACATGTACATCTTACCTCGGGGCGAGTACCCTGAGTTCCAGCACTGGATGGGCCTCAACGACCGCCTGGGCTCCTGCAAAGCTGTTCATCTGGTGAGCCTGGTGACACCCCCTCTCCCCCCGCCACACTTTTTTTTTTTCTTTTCTTTTTTTGGCTTTTATTTGAAAGGTTTTTTTGAGGTTGTTCTACTTCTTAATGGGGAGCTGTCTTTTTTGGCCATGGAGGCGTAAATAAAATCTTAGGTCAGTTCATCCCAAGACCGAATATACTAATTATTTCCACAGCACTTGACCCCGTGAGGATGTTAAGGAATTACGTTCTTCTTACTGAAAGCCAGCTGTTTCAGTGGGTATGGAGTGGGGACGGGAGTTCAGATCGTCTAGATTTCAAGATGGTGCGTTCTGAACCATACTGCTCTTTGAGTCTGTGACCTGCTGGCGATTTCCGTAATGGTTACTGTTCATTTCCTCCCGTGTTTTTTTCAGTCTAGTGGAGGCCAGTATAAGATTCAGATCTTTGAGAAAGGAGATTTTAATGGTCAGATGCACGAAACCACTGAAGACTGTCCTTCTGTCATGGAGCAATTTCGTATGCGAGAGGTCCACTCCTGTAAGGTGCTGGAGGGTGCCTGGATTTTCTACGAGCTGCCCACCTACCGCGGCAGACAGTACCTCCTGGACAAGAAGGAGTACCGGAAGCCCATCGATTGGGGCGCAGCTTCCCCAGCGGTCCAGTCTTTCCGCCGCATTGTGGAGTAATGACGCGGATGGGGCCATAAGCCACTTCCTGGGGACCAAGCGCTGGCTGGCCTGGTCATCCAAATAGGCATCATAAATAAAGCAATTGGCATGCATTCCACTGTTGACTTGTAATGCCTCTCCTTAAACACTTTCAGGGATCAGTACAATAGTACCCACCAGAGTGGGCAGTTACACAAAACAACTAGCTCAAAATGGGACTCCTTTGAAAGGTTAGACAATCGTACTGCCACGTAGTGGTTTTTGTTGCTTAAGTTTTGTGTTAATTCACTGGTGCAATAATAACAGGTGCCATTCACTGAGTGCTTTCATGCTCCCACTTTCTCTTCACAACAGTCCTGGAAGAGGTGGTTCATCTGCATTTTACAAATAAGAAAACGGAAGCTTAGAGAAATTAAAAACTTGTCCAAGTTCACCAGCTGGTGAATGAAGTGACCAGGATATTTATGTTTCCAAAGCCCTGTTCTTTTCTCTTTATGTTTAACTCATTTATTCAACACATATTGGGGGGGGGGGGGGTCTCTGTGCATAATGTAAGTACACGACCCTGGGATAAAATACATATCGAGAACAGCCAGTGAAAACAGGGCTATTACCTGAAAATAGTAGCATACAAGTCCCTTGAAATACTTCATGGTCTACAGAGTCGTCTGCCAGTCACCTCTCAACCCTTACGTTCAGTTTATCTGTAAAACGAAAGGACATGTTAAACAATTTGTCCCTACTTCACAGTAATTGAAATGGAGTTTTATTGAGTTCTACCTACTTTGAGATTGTAGTTATTTAATCTTGAAGGACATAGGGCATCACTTGGAATATTTAGTGAGTACCCTACTGAAACTGGGATATTCTGGGTTCACCTGTCTTTGAAAAGATGGCAAAGCTCATGTCTCTTAGGAGTTTTTCCTGGAAAGGACAAATCAGAGCAGCTAAGGACCCTCCCTTGGGGTCTACTTCAGTCTATACTCTGGTGTGTACTGCATACTCTCCCCTGGATACTTTTATTCATTTTGTTAACTTCCACTGCCTTTTTTGTTTTTTGTTGTTTTGTTTTTCATTTCAAGTGAAGGACTTTGAGAAATTTGAGTGAAAGTGAGGGAGGAGACAGGATAAGCTGAGGAGGAGGAATGAGAGGCCCCTTGCAGAGGAGCAGAGAGCTCTGGATCTTGTCACCCGACCATGAAGTTAACTTTCCTTATCTCCAGAATGAGGGAGTTGAGCCAAATGTTCACCCAAGTCCCATCGAACACAAACATTCTCATTCTCTGAAGGCCAGGAGGACGCTGAAAGACCACCTGGTGCCTAAAGACTACTAACACTTCTTTTTAGAAGCACAATTTCTGGAAATGACCTCAGAGGTCTTGCTTCTTCTTTTCTGCAGAGGATACTGAGGCTGTGGTAACAGTGAGTTACTGCCAGTCTGTCCTTCAGATCCACTGCTGCTGTGTTCCAGTCCTTGGTGTGTTGGTCACAGTCTGTTCAAAACAACCAGAAAAGCAGTTCTGGCAGCAGTGTAGAAAAACAGGCGTCAGGATGACTAACCACTATCTCAGAGGAGTAGGAGACGGCTTCTGACAGATAAAGCAATTGTCATTTGGGGATGTTTTATGCCTCTTGGTTCATGCCCTGATCCAGAAAGAGATTGCCAGCATTCTCCCCAGTTAGGGACACATCAATCAACTTGAACTTAAAAGGAATTTCACTAGCGATTGATATTAGAGTTAAAAACACTAACTCTATCAGTCAGTCCCAGTTCTGGAAGAACATTCTGCTGTCAGAGCCAGAAGCCAGTGTCCACCTGTCAAGCACACGCAGGGAAGCACCTGGCTAGATATTTAGAAGTAGTACCTCCCTCTGCTTTTTACTGTCTTGATGTTCTACAACGATGGAGGAGGCATGTCAAGAAAATAAGAGGCCCTGGCTGGTTTGGCTCAGTTGGAGCTTCGGCCTGTGGACCAGACAGTCCCGGGTTCGGTTCCCACTAGGGGCACGTACAAAAAAAAAAAAGAAAAGAAAAGAAAGAAAAAGAAAAGAAAAGAAAAGAAAACAAGGGAATGGCACACTTAGACCATATTAGTCCCGTTTGCCGTCTGAGCGTTCCTCTGAGACAAGTCTGCGTATTTCCCACACATAGAGCCCTTTTCCTCAAAATGTAACATGAGGGCTTCTTATTTAAACCCTTTATAGTAGTGGACTCTAAAAAGACAAGACAAATACAACAAACCCATAGATACAGAGAACAGCTGATGGCGGCCAAGGGGGAAAGGGGTGGGGATGGGAAGGGGGTTAAATGTGACCATTTATTTATTTCTTTATTCAAGGAAAATAACATTTAAAAATAAAAAATAAAGTTCCCAGGGTAGTGTTATCAGATTAAATATAGGACATAATTAGTAAATCCAAAGTCAGATATATATATATATACACACACAGTATAAGTGTATCCCAAGTATTGGATGGAACATACTTACACTAAAACATTATTTGTCATTTGTCTGAAATATAAATTTAACTGTATCCTGCATTTTTATTTGCTAAGTCTGTCAAACCTATACCTAAGGGCAAGGCAAAGGAGTGACACAGGCTAAAGGCACAGGGTGGTGAGGGCTGTGGAAACTGGGGACACACGCCCCACAGAGGGGCATTTAAATACTGTGAGCCTACAAAAGGTGCCTGCAGCTGGATCTGGTCCGCGGACCCTCAGCCCCAAGCTTGACTTGGTGGCGAGCTCTGAACATCAGAAAAAGTTCCTTTCATTGAGTCAAACTCTGCTTCTTGTAAGTTTCACCCTCAATTCTAGTTCTGCTTTTCATCTGATTCTTCATTTCCTTTAGGTATTTAAAGATACCTCCTGTTCGCCTCCACACCCCCATTTCTAGGTGGAACAACTCCGGTTCCTTCCCCTGTCTCGCTCTTGATGTGGTCGGCTCCAGACTCCGCCTTCCTGGTGCCTCCCTTCTGCGGGCTGCACATTCTTTTCCCCACTGTTCTAGCTCAAGTCTGACCAGAGCACACTACATGGAGGATGGTGTTCAGTTCTTTGACCCTCCTTTCTTCAATATATACTGTTTTTTTTTGCTTTATTAAACTGAATTTATTGGGGTGACATTGTTAATAAAATTATATAGGTTTCAGGGGTACAATGCTATAACATATACTGTTCTTGACTAAGCTCAGCTCTCCTTGTACCTTCCCACCAGACCTGATAGTGGGCTCGACCACCCTTTCCTGAGAACTGGCCTTCCAGGTCAAGGAGAAAGTTCCCTTCCCCTCTGGAAAGTTAGAGAGAAGGGGATTCAATCCTGTCACTTCCACATATCAGCTCTAAGTCACACACTCTAATATATAACCTCGAATTCCTTACCTGTAAAACAAAGACAGCCCTTACTGTGTGGGCATTAACATAATGGATGAAAAATATGTGAATGTGAGGTCAGTTCTTATTATTTGCCGTAGTTAGATTCTGTAAAGACCGTGAAGATGAATAGTGAAGGAATACTGAACTGTTGTCCCTAGGGAAACACTGTTAGGTACCTGGGAGCCCCTGGTCACAGCATTTTTGATATCCAATTAATACATAACCTTTTTTATTTATTTTTATTTTTGTAAACTTCCAAAATATTTATTTATGTAGGCCTAGCTACTAGTCAAGAATTTTTTTCTAGGTACTAGAAATAAAAGGATGAATAAGATATCGTTTCTACCATGTTATATGTCCCTTTAACAATGAATTCCAGCCTGGTTGGTGTGGCTCAGGGGATTGAGTGTTGTCCCACGGACTGAGAGGTCCCAGTTTGATTCCCAGTCAGGGCACATGCCCGGGTTGCAGGCTCCATCCCTATGGGGGGCATGCAGGAGGCAGCTGATCGATGTTTCTCTTTCACATTGATGTTTCTAATCCCCCCCCCCCAAAAAAAATCAATAAAACATATTTTTAAAAAAAACAATGAATTCCAAATCTAGCAAAAAACACATTCCACACAGGTTACACATAACCTTTTTTAAAATGTATGTTTCTATTTAAAAACACCTTAATATGTATTGTTGATTCATTAACATTGAACTCACGGCCAACTTATATCTGAAAGAAACTTATCTCACACATTTTTCTTCTGTAAGGTACATTGCAGCTGTCTTGTGTGAAGGGTCTTCTCATATAGCAAAACCTCCAACCAAAGGAAAACAATGCAAAACACATACTAAGTAGACTGCAAAAACAGGACACTTGTTTACAGTATGAGAGCTCACACCAGAAGACAGAGCATTTGTTTGACCTCAACGGGGAACACAGACATCGGGAGACTCAAATTTGTCTCCCGCTCTGCTCGTGTTTGTGAATGACCCTGAAGGCACCATGAGTAGTGATCTGCGGGTCACACACATTTTAGTGAGTGGGAGAACTCACAAGTATAAAATCTGTGAATAACGAAGATCAGCTGTACTTGACCACCATGGTTAACATGTTAATACCATTTCCTAGTACTTAAGTACCTCTCTTACGAAACTGTTTTTTATTTTGCTTACTTGTTTAGCTTTTTTATACCTTTTAATTCCCCATTTGTTTTCTGAGAAGAATCTCTGCATTTTTGGTAGAGGCTTCCTAGTTGGGAAGAAATACATCAGAGTCATCCAAGCCACCCACTGCCTTAACCGCAGCCACATGTCTAGGACCCGGCCTTCTCCTAGCTCTCCCGTGTACCTCTCCCCTGGGTCCAGCTACCCCCGGTTTCCAAGGTCAGCAGGTTGACCCCAGTGTTCACACAACCCCTCCTTGTTTCCTAACTTCTACCGAGTGGCTCTTACCTGGGGTCAGTCAGGACAGAGGGCAGTGAGTCGCAGCTCTCCTTCCAGCCCTCTGGCTCGACCAGCCTTTGGTAGACACAGGAAAGAAGGGTTCCTGTGGGTGTGATTTCAAAGCAAGGGAAACCTTTCTGTCCACAGACACCTCCCACCTCTACCTCTTCATTCAAACCTCAGTCTTCAAAATCAGCGAATCTTAGAACTGGAGCGGCTGGGGGCTTCCCACATACCATAACCGCACGGTGAGAAGGGGCTTCCTAACCCCCGTTTATAGCCGAGGAGCTAAGGCTCCGAGCCGCT